GAGTGTATAATACCGTGTGAGACTACATTAAATATTGCTTTTTTATTGGTTGTCTAATGTATGTACGCTGGTTTTTCTGGAGAAACAATAAATTTGATAATGTTTTTTTTATCTCATGTAGCGCACGAAAGAAAATTCCTATTATGTTCAAAGAACATTATGCTGCGTACACCTATATAAGGAGGATAGGGAGATGGAGGTAGGTGAAATTGCATAATAAGTCATTTGTTGATATTACATGTGGTGACTCTGCTAGCTTCTTTCGAAAACCCAAGAATATGATAAAAACTGTTGGTCCTTCGAGCCAGATTTGCAGTATATCGCGAAATATTTCACGATTTGGCGATGCGTGCCGATCGATACGCATTTTTTTCCTTTCTGCATTCGTTTCGCCCTATTAGTAGTAGTAAGTACGAGGCATGTATGTATGTTATTGTCGAGTGCAGTATTTGGTTAGTCATTAAAACCGCATGAGTGGAGAGTGGCCGCGTGCCGAGAATATAATGATGCCCCACTCGCCCCTCTTACCCGCGCCACTCTCCCCTATTCGCGACCCAATGATCGCCCCATTCGTGGGCACGTATGCGTGCCTAACGCGTCCATGCGACCCGCCAAATGGCATACAGGGTGTTAGGATTGAACCGAGTGAGGTTCCAGAGATTTTTGAGAGAATTTAAGGAATGAGGATCTTAGATCACTTTGATTATGTAATTTGATGGACCCTGTTGAAACATAGTTCGGTAAACGAACAAGAAATAGGGAAAATAATTCGCAAATTCCGAAAAATAATCCAAAATTTCGAGATGAAAGTCGAATTTCCAGATAGAAGTCGGAATTCTCAGAAGACAGTTGAAATTCTGACAAAAAAGTCAAAAGTTTTTGATAATAGTAGAAATTTCTAGATAAAAGTCGAAGGTTTGTGATAAAAGTCAAAATTTCAACATGAGAGTCGAGATTTTGGTAAAAAGTATGAATTTCGAGAAGAAATCTCTAAATAAAGTTCGATATTTCTAGAAAATATAGACGAAATTTTGGTGAATAATTAGAAACTTCGAGATAAAATTCGTTTCGTGTTCAAAATCAAAATATCGAGATGAAAGTCAATATTTTGAAAGAAAAGTCATAATATCAAGATAAACGTCGAAATTATGAGAAACGTGAGAGTCTAGAGAAATCTCGAAATTTCAAGGCAAATGTGGGAAATTCGTGTTAGGAGTCAAAATGTTTAGATACAAGTCGAAATTCAGAAAAAAAGTCGAAATTTCTAGATACAGGTCGAAAAGACAAAATTTCAAGGAATAAGTCAAAGTTCCGAAATAAAAATCGAATTTTCTCGAAATAAGTCGATATTTCTATATAAAAGGTAAAATTACTAGAAAAAAATTTAAATTTCTAAACAGAAGTAGAATTTAGATATATTCACATATACAGGTGACCCACTTCTAATGGAAACACTCCTGATGTATCTTACAATCATGGAACCACCCCAATTTCCGGAAAATGATATTAGGAGTCAAAATAGGTCGCAAATCACTTCAGATTCGGAATCAGGACGCCCGATTCACTAACTATTCATATTTTTCCTGGACAATTTTCAGTTCTGAAAAATTAAATTTTGTCGCACTTTTCACGGAAGCACCCCCGTATCTTACGTAATTGACTTTATCTTTGGACTTTCGCTTCCTCCTGCAAATTTCAGAACCCTACCTCAATAATCACAAGTGAGACAAAATTTAATGTATCTGAACTGAAAATTTTCTAGGAGAACTATGAATAGTTAGTGAATTGGGCGTCCTGATTCCGAATCCGAAGTGATTTTCAACCTATTTTGTCTCCTTATATCATTTTCCGAAAAACGGGATGGTTCCAGGGCTGTTGGCGAGCAGTGTATATCACTGAAGATGACCATACTTGGTCGTTGAGTGCATTTTTGGTATATCTCTCGCTCCAGCATATTTCAAAATCCTTACCCAACGATTACGTAGGATACAGAGGTGTTTCCATTAGAAGTGGGTCACACTGTATATGACAATAAGTTATTAGGGACTTTTTTCCAACTTTCCTTGCTAGATCATCTCTCTTTTTATTAGACCCCTTATCCAGATATTTCGTTACTCAGCTATTGGTGGAAGTTGGAATAGCTGAAGGAGTTCGTAGTCTTCAACTTACAATAAGTTATGAGAAACTATTTCTCCAACTTTTGGGACATGGAAGCTGTTGATAACTGGTGTTCTCATTTGACCAATTTAGTGTTGTGGTCTCTGTTATTCCAAATATGGGTGATGGACTATTACCAGTAGATGATGCTGTTTCAAACCCTTTTCTTGCTAGATCATCTCTTTTTTCATTAGACCCTTATCCAGATATTTCGTTCGTCAGCTATTGGTGGAAGTTGGAATAGCTGAAGAAGTTCGTATTCTTCAACTTACAATAAGTTATTAGAAACTATTTTTCCAACTTCTGGGACGTGGAAGCCGTTGATAACTGGTGTTCTCATATGACCAATCAGTGTTGTGGTCTCTGTTATTCCAAATATGGGTGATGGACTATTACCAATACATGTTGTTTCAAACCCTTCCCTTGATGCTAGATCATCTCTATTTTCATTACCCCTTATCCAGATATTTTGTTCCTCAGCTGTTGCTGGATGGAATAGTTGAAAAATTCGTATTCTTCAACTTACCATAAGTGAATAGAAACTATTTCTCCAACTTTTGGGACGTAGAAGGGAATCTTTTCTCGTTCGCTCTAAGCGAATCAATCATTCCGGAAACGATTCCTATGTCATCTTACGTATCCATACATCCAACAAATCACCAAACCCCCCTATAAACATCCAAATTACTACATTGAATACGCGCCCGGTGAAATCCATCCCCGTATCAACAAGTTGGCCATAGAAGGAGTGAGCCAGAGGGAGAGAGACAGATATATGATGATGTCGTCATTGAAAAGCAGCGTGCCATATGGCCCAGTCCTTTGTGTCCTTCCACCCTGAAGATTTGTATACGACCCCGAAAAAACTGATATCAATCTCTGAATGTGGAATATCGTAGGGAGCTCGCTTTCCCATTGTCCAAGATTTTCCAGATTCGACTTTCAAAAGATTCCAGCCATCGCATGAGTGTGCTTCGATTGGTCGAGCATATTATTCGAAATGGTCCATCAGGATAGATCCAGGAAGAAGGAAATCTGGAAGTGATTATAGGTGAAGTATGTTTCTATACTGGGTGATGGGTGATTCAAAAGTCATCCTTCCGGGTGCGTAAAATAAGGCAAAAAGTCACTTTTGATATGGGTCCGAAAATGCTTCCGAAGATCAAATTGAAGATCTTTTTTTCTCTATATAACTTCAAAACTCTTCAAAATTGAATTTTGAAAATTTGTGCATGGTATGAACATTCGATGGTTACTAAGATCGAGTTCTTTTTTTTACGTAAAGAATTTTATGATTTCCAAACAAGATCACAATAACCTGAAGAGTACAAGAAAAAGGGATTTCCAAAACCAAGAACCAAATTGCGTCTAACCTTCCTGCTCCTTGCAGATGTGAAGTTATCCATTTTGTTTCAATAAACCATCTGGCATATTTTTCCTTATTATGATTTCTTCCACTGGATCATTCATGTGTGAAACATCAAACTGTTTCTAGTCGTCATCAATCACAATTGTTCGTATCTCACCTGACAAACTACCCATAGAATGAACGTTGAATGACCCATTTGAAATCATGCCACCATCATAAATCTTTCATTTGTGTAACAATTTTAAAGAACTTTTTTTGAAATCTAGAAGGGGGAAAGGTGTATATTAGGCTAAAGAATCCAGAATCCATATTACCATATGAAAACATTGATGTTTCATCACAAAATTGAAGATTTTCCAGTTCCTACTCAAATTCAAATATCACCAATAAATCGAGCTATATTTCTGATGAGTGAATAAAAAATGATTTAAATGTGTATAAGTATGAACAATGTTCAAACTTGAGATTTTCAACATTCATGTTTGGTCACAAACTTGACAGACAGTAAAAGCTATGATAACAATTGAATCATTTAGTTTCAAATAGAGGTCAGTAGCTTACTGAAAATATTGTCGATCAGATCGATTTTTGGATATTATTTCTCAATGAACCTGGCCTACTAAGTTTGTCTAATAAGTGTTTCCAATCGCGTCATGCTCGACGTGTGAAATTCATATTTCCCAAATTTGTGAACTTGGTCCTTCGAGCTAGACTTTGTAATAATCCCTTCGTCGACATGGCATACTCACACTAATACAAATTATGCATATTCTAGCCGTTTTAACGACCGGCTTATAGGCGTACTCCATACAGTCACGTGACCGGCGATTGAAAACGTACCCGGGGGGTCGGCACGACGGTACAACGGCAATTATATTTTTGGTCGTCGGCAACAATGACAAAAACTGATGCTTTAATTAACGTGGCCGGCATCTCTAATAGGCACGTGTAATGCGGCATCGAACCAATTTGCCACTTTTCAAAGGGGTAGCGAAAATCGAATGAGAAAAAAACACACTGATACAGCTACTGCAATCTCATTTTATACAGCATACCCGAGATTCCGCGAAAATATAATTTTGGTCCGACCGAAGACTGAACGTTTTCTATCATTCCACCTGTTGATTTTCTGGACGGAAGACTTGACAATTGAAAAGAACAAGTAGTCATCTGAGTTGGAGAGACCAACCAGGGAATTCCATTCAGAAGAGAAACGTATCGCCCTGGTATATACGAATTATCTCAAAGACCGTTCTTAACACTGTTCTGTTCTCGCGTGTTGCCAACTGCCAATTACGCATGTAAATATGGCAGCTGAGCGTTTCAACCGAGTCAATTGTAGCCGTCATCGAGTTCTATGGCTCGGCCTATTATTTCTTCAATTTGTTGCATGAACAGAATCTCTCGAACATCAATTATTCGAGCGGCGTTGCCAGACCGTCCACCGATATTACGAAATCCCATGAATTCCTTACTACATCACTTTTTCATCCAAATTGAGGATTCCAAAGATGGTGACATCTCTATGAGGCAACATTGCTTGAAGTAAAATGAGGATCAAAACTCTTATCGTGACGATTTTTGCTTCACTATCGTACATGTGAGCAAGGCTGATGACTGAATGAAAGTATGCAACAGCATGCAGCCTATATTCACAGTGTGTGGGAAATATTAATATACAGGGTGTACCTAAACATATATGCTGATGCTCTTAGATACATTTTGTATCCAGTACTTACCAAAAAATCAACCAACCAAACAGGCTCGAATTTCATCAAGAAATACCATGGAATTTGAAATGTTTGGTTCTCACATCACATGATAAGTATTCTCAGACTATACCCAATAGTCCAACCGCTATTAAGTGGGCCATTATTTATACCAAGATGTGGAATAAAAATCAGTATTTCATGACCAAACTCTTCATTTCATTTTCGAGTAAAATATTTGGCTTTCAAATTAAAACAACTCAAGTCACAAAAATGATAACTCTATATAGATTCGGTATCTGAAGCATTTTATTCTGACCTTTCATTACATTTCAAGCCATTCAAAATGGATTCCAAGCCATTTCGTGATGTGATATTTTACTATAATAGCATTCCAAACCATTTTGTGATCCTTCAAGCATAACATTTCATGACTTTGAAGGTATTTCTTTGAAGAATTTCAGAACAGTTCGTGCCATTTCCTTATAGCATTTCATTTAATTTTCATATTCATGTTGAAAAATATTTCGAAACATTTCAAAACATTTCAATTCTTTTTGAAGCATTTCATTCCATTTCAAGGCAAATCATGGCATTTCAAGGTATTTTATGGCATTTCAGGGAATTTCATGGCATTTCAAGGAATTTCAAAGAATTTCAAGGATCTCAAGGCATTTCATGCTATTTCAAAAATTGCGTTTCATTTTATTTCATGTTATTTCAAAATATTTCAAGGCCTTTCCAGGCATTTCAAGACATGTTATGGCATTTCAAGGTATTTCATGGTATCACAAGAAATTTCATGGCATATCAAGGAATTCCGAAGTATTTCAAGGATTTCAAGGCACATCATGGTATTTCAGAAATGGCATTTCATTTCATGTCATTTCAAAATATTTCAAAGTATTTCAAAGCATTTCAAGGCATTTCGATGCATTTCATGAGATTTCAAGGTATTTCATGGCATTTCAAGGAGTTTCAAAGCATTTCCAGAATTTCATGGTATTTCAGAAATGGCATTTCGTGACCTGTTCCACGCATTTCCTCAAATTAAATGGAATAATAAAAAATAAATTGATAGTTGATCTATCTCTCAGTTTTTCACAAATTCATTTACCTGAACTTGGTAGAAATATATTTTCTTACAAGGAACTTGTGAACTTATGGAATAAATTCGACATCATCTGACGTTGAATTTAAAATTCTTTCAAATCCAGAAATTTGTTTAGTTGCTATGGCGACGATACAAAATACAGGCTTTTAATTGTTCTGAAATGTTGGGTTTGATATTTTCACATTAATTTATGTTCCGATTGAGTACCAGAAGAGTTGTGGCAACGTGGCACTTCAATCTCGACCTTCTCTCCGCACCACGAGCTCGAAACACTTTCAAGACGTAGACGCCTGAGGCGAACCCCTGAAAAGATCTGTCATACTCGAAAAAAGGCAGGGTTGGACAAATCTTGATTAAAAAAAAAATCAAAAATCACTGATTTAAATAAAAAAATCATGATTTTTTGGATTTTTTGGATTGTTTTGATTTTTTTGTTTTTTTTCATTTTGGTCTTGATGCGCGACAGGTACCTGTCAACATTCATGTCCATTTTTTAACTCAAAACTATTTTAATTTTGTGTATTTCATGAATTTGAGTATTATAAAATTAAAACAAAATATAATTCACAAAGAAAGCCATTCTCAGTAGGACGATGTGGGTCGACCGACATGTCTGTACAAGAAAATTCCTGTAGCCTGTATATGTATATGTTTCAATATACAGTTTCTTTAGGGGTTTTACTATTTTATTTCAGTTTAATATTTTTTATTATTCAAATAAATAATAAATGTTCTCAAAATTATTATTTTGATTTAAATTGTGATTTTGAAAAAAAATCACTTGATTTAAATCATGATTTTTATCTTGATTTAAATCAATTGATTTAAATCAGCCCAACCCTGAAAAAAGGCCGTCGATTCACGTCAGGGCCATCCTTGATTGTGTGGTCCGCCTTTTGACAGGTGGAATTCGAACGGGTCATCGCCATCTAGAGATCGAATTGATAACGTAAAAGGTTGTCGTGAACTCACATCAAGGATCCGAAGATGTTTTATTGAGGTTTTTTCTCTCTTGGAGCGCACGATAGGATATCCCTATGATATTCGGAGAACATCGTGCGTACCTAGGGAGGATAGAGAGGGGAGATAGAAGTTTATGAACATCTATAGGTTATAAGTTCTTGGGAATAGTTCCATTGGGAAGGAGTTCCAAAGCTTTGCCGTTCTGTAGAAGAACGAGTTTTGGTAAAGTGTTGTTCAACATATTTCAAGGTTGACAACGAAAGGATGTGCTGACCGTGTCTGTAGAGTTCGTCTGACTGGTATTACTAGTGAAGGAATATAGCAGATATTCCTGAGAAACATTTCCCGAGGAAGTATCTACAGAAAAGTGAAAGGTCGCCGACTTTTCTACCGTGTACGAGACGAACTGCCCTTTTTTGGACAGAATCCAACAGTTTCAGGGTATGTTTGGGTGCTGCACTCCAAATATAAAGACAGTATTCCAGTACAGGACGGATATGTGCCTTATAGATCATAAGCAGCTGACTGGAAGTGAAATAGCTCCTGGCCCGAAACAGAAAACCAAGTTTTTGGGATGCACTCTTAGCAATTGATCTCACGTGTTTTCCCAAGAGAGGTTATTGCTAATAGTAATACCAAGCATCGAGATGGATGTCTTCAAAGGTATGGTTACTCCTGACAAGCTTATGTTGGGCACAGTGAGATCGGCTTTTCTAGATAGAAGGCATGCTTGTGTTTTGTTTGCATTAGAATCTATCAAGTTTTGGAATCAGATTTGGTCCAAGACTTTTCGTTAAAATTTTCAAAAATACCAATTCATGATGATATAGGTCAGTTCAGGTCGAAAAATATTTTTTCTCCCCGGGCGTCCTACACATCTAAAAAATTCAAAAGACACTAATTCTGACATGTAAAAAACGAATCAGGAATCAGATTTGGTCCAAGACCTTTCGTTAAAATTTTCAAAAATACCAATTCATGATGATATAGGTCAGTTCAGGTCGAAAAATATTTTTTCTCCCCGAGCGTCCTACACATCTGAAAAATTCAAAAGACACTAATTCTGACATGTAAAAAACGAATCAGGAATCAGATTTGGTCCAAGACTTTTCGTTAAAATTTTCAAAAATACCAATTCATGATGATATAGGTCAGTTCAGGTCGAAAAATATTTTTTCTCCCCGGGCGTCCTACACATCTGAAAAATTCAAAAGACACTAATTCTGACGTGTAAAAAACGAATCAGGAATCAGATTTGGTCCAAGACTTTTCGTTAAAATTTTCAAAAATACCAATTCATGATGATATAGGTCAGTTCAGGTCGAAAAATATTTTTTCTCCCCGGGCGTCCTACACATCTGAAAAATTCAAAAGAAACTAATTCTGACATGTAAAAAACGAATCAGGAATCAGATTTGGTCCAAGACTTTTCGTAAAAATTTTCAAAAATAGCAATTCATGATAATATAGGTTAGTTCAGGTCGAAAAATATTTTTTCTCCCCGAGCGTCCTACACATCTGAAGAATTCAAAAGACACTAATTCTGACATGTGAAAAACGAATCAGGAATCAGATTTGGTCCAAGACCTTTCGTTAAAATTTTCAAAAATACCAATTCATGATGATATATAGGTCAGTTCAGGTCGAAAAATATTTTTTCTTCCTGGGCGTCCTACACATCTGAAAAATTCAAAAGACACTAATTCTGACATGTAAAAAACGAATCAGGAATCAGATTTGGTCCAAGACTTTTCGTAAAAATTTTCAAAAATACCAATTCATGATGATATAGGTCAGTTCAGGTCGAAAAATATTTTTTCTCCCCGAGCGTCCTACACATCTGGAAAACTCCGAAGACACTAATTTTGACATGTAAAAAACGAATCAGGAATCAGATTTGGTCCAAGACTTTTCGTTAAAATTTTCAAAAATACCAATTCATGATGATATAGGTCAGTTCAGGTCGAAAAATATTTTTTCTCCCCGGGCGTCCTACACATCTGAAAAATTCAAAAGACACTAATTCTGACATGTAAAAAACGAATCAGGAATCAGATTTGGTCCAAGACTTTTCGTTAAAATTTTCAAAAATACCAATTCATGATGATATAGGTCAGTTCAGGTCGAAAAATATTTTTTCTCCACGAGCGTCCTACACATCTGGAAAACTCCGAAGACACTAATTCTGACATGTAAAAAACGAATCAGGAATCAGATTTGGTCCAAGACTTTTCGTTAAAATTTTCAAAAATACCAATTCATGATGATATAGGTCAGTTCAGGTCGAAAAATATTTTTTCTTCCTGGGCGTCCTACACATCTGAAAAATTCAAAAGACACTAATTCTGACATGTAAAAAACGAATCAGGAATCAGATTTGGTCCAAGACTTTTCGTTAAAATTTTCAAAAATACCAATTCATGATGATATAGGTCAGTTCAGGTCGAAAAATATTTTTTCTCCCCGGGCGTCCTACACATCTGAAAAATTCAAAAGACACTAATTCTGACATGTAAAAAACGAATCAGGAATCAGATTTGGTCCAAGACTTTTCGTTAAAATTTTCAAAAATACCAATTCATGATGATATAGGTCAGTTCAGGTCGAAAAATATTTTTTCTTCCTGGGCGTCCTACACATCTGAAAAATTCAAAAGACACTAATTCTGACATGTAAAAAACGAATCAGGAATCAGATTTGGTCCAAGACTTTTCGTTAAAATTTTCAAAAATACCAATTCATGATGATATAGGTCAGTTCAGGTCGAAAAATATTTTTTCTTCCTGGGCGTCCTACACATCTGAAAAATTCAAAAGACACTAATTCTGACATGTAAAAAACGAATCAGGAATCAGATTTGGTCCAAGACGTTTCGTTAAAATTTTCAAAAATACCAATTCATGATGATATAGGTCAGTTCAGGTCGAAAAATATTTTTTCTTCCTGGGCGTCCTACACATCTGAAAAATTCAAAAGACACTAATTCTGACATGTAAAAAACGAATCAGGAATCAGATTTGGTCCAAGACTTTTCGTTGAAATTTTCAAAAATACCAATTCATGATGATATAGGTCAGTTCAGGTCGAAAAATATTTTTTCTCCCCGGGCGTCCTACACATCTGAAAAATTCAAAAGACACTAATTCTGACATGTAAAAAACGAATCAGGAATCAGATTTGGTCCAAGACTTTTCGTTAAAATTTTCAAAAATACCAATTCATGATGATATAGGTCAGTTCAGGTCGAAAAATATTTTTTCTCCCCGGGCGTCCTACACATCTGAAAAATTCAAAAGAAACTAATTCTGACATGTAAAAAACGAATCAGGAATCAGATTTGGTCCAAGACTTTTCGTAAAAATTTTCAAAAATAGCAATTCATGATAATATAGGTTAGTTCAGGTCGAAAAATATTTTTTCTCCCCGAGCGTCCTACACATCTGAAGAATTCAAAAGACACTAATTCTGACATGTGAAAAACGAATCAGGAATCAGATTTGGTCCAAGACCTTTCGTTAAAATTTTCAAAAATACCAATTCATGATGATATAGGTCAGTTCAGGTCGAAAAATATTTTTTCTCCCCAAGCGTCCTACACATCTGAAAAATTCAAAAGACACTAATTCTGACATGTAAAAAACGAATCAGGAATCAGATTTGGTCCAAGACTTTTCGTTAAAATTTTCAAAAATACCAATTCATGATGATATAGGTCAGTTCAGGTCGAAAAATATTTTTTCTTCCTGGGCGTCCTACACATCTGAAAAATTCAAAAGACACTAATTTTTACATGTTAAAAACGAATCAGGAATCAGATTTGGTCCAAGACTTTTCGTTAAAATTTCGATCCCCATTCGAGAATTGTTGCCAAGTCCATATTTATGTTGTCAACATTTCTCCCTCGTCGTTTCTGATTTGCCTGGCTGGTATTGGAGCCCTGGAAAAGAAGGCGGTATGGAGGGTACTATCATCCGCGAAGATTTGAACTGAGCATGAAGGTGCTTCCAACAAATCGTTGATATGGAGTAGAAATAGTGTTGGTGCTAGAATTGATTCTTGCGGAACACCAGCATTTATGATAAGAGAGTCAGATGAAACTCCGTGACCACTACATGAAGAGACCTGTTTGAGAGAAAACTAGCTAGCAGAGAACATAGCTGGGGAGGCAAGCCATACGATGGAAGCTTGGCGAGGAGTCCGTGGTGCCAGACTCGATCGAATGCCTTGGACATATCAAGCGTCACGGCTAAGGTTTCACCATATTAAGCTAAGGTTTCACCATATTCTAAGGTTTCACCATATCTGGTTGACGTAGGCATATACATCTCCAGTTGATCTTCGTTGACGAATGCCATAATATTGTCCATAATTATTAATGATTTCTGTGCTTCCTAGATATTTGATGAGCCCAATGTTGATCGCTTCCTCCATCCCTATGGTGATGACTGAGATAAGAGGACAATTGGCCTATCAGGCTTTGATTTTTTTTTGAGGATTGGTTGGACTCTAGCTAGTTTCCAGCAAGATGGAATCGGTGGCAATTCTTTTGACTATAATGGGTGCATGCAATTCCACAATCGATTGTTAATAGGGGTCATTAACGATCAATTTCGTGTACATTGATCTAACTTGTTAGTATACGAGGTCGCCAGAAAATTCATTATCCGTAGATCATAAGTCGAAACGAGGATTCTGGAAACAGTTTGCAGAACTTGCAGAAGTTCCAGTGGGCCAACCCCGAGCTCCTGATTCCGTCAACGAACCGTATTTGCATACGTAATTGGCACTCTCCATGCCTGGGCATCATCGAAATGGAAGACAATTAAAATGCCGTCGTCGAGTGGGGTATAAAGAAAAATCAACAACACGTTAAGGAGGAGAGAGAGAAACGGTAACGGTAGTGCGGCGGCGGAAAATTAGATTCGAGCTCAAAGAGAGGCGGGCTTCGAGTCTCGAATTATGAAAACACCTCCGAGTCCTTTGAGGAACGGCGCGCGATATGCAAACGACCGAGGATAATTAGGATAATGGCAGCCACTTCAATACCTGCTGCTACCGGACTGATGCCGATGCTTTTTCTAGCCCAATTTGCCTATGCTACTTGTATTCTTGCCGATGGAACAGCCACTTGTTGAGAAACCAATTAATAGAAAAAAACGAACGAAAAATGATCAGGCATCTCTCATGTAGTCGTTTACCTCGTCGTTTACAATTTGAAGTGTGATTGGCACTGACTTTGAGTCGGACCGAAGACTGAACCATGTTTTCCATCGTTCTCCTTTGTCGTCAATTGGCCTACTTAGCTTTGAGATTTTTCATGTAATGTTTGCACAATTCGATGAGGGAATCTATTTCCTATCGAATGACATCCTTACCCAGTCAATCGGCCAAGAAATGGGATAGTTATTGAAAAGGGGTATCCTGTAATGTTTCAGAGAACATCGTGAGAACCAAGGGAAATGAGGTAGGAATAGGTGTTCTTCTCAAATTTCTGGAGGTTATATGCCTCGAGGAACACCTTCCTTGGCAATGTGTTCCAGAGCCTCGCTGTTTGTTGGATGAACGAGTCTTTGGAAAGAGATGTTCTGCAGTTCTTCAAAGTGACCACGAAGTGGTGCGAAGCCTCAACTCGACGGGGTAATCTCGCGGGGACTGCCAAGGAACAATCGTTGATATTTCTGAGGAGCATCGTTCATGAAAATATCTATAAAATAGAGCCAGATCGCCAACTTTTCTACGGTGTTTCAGAGAAGTGAGTGAGTTTGTGAGCAAGGCATCACCCACGAGACGAATTGCCCTTTTTTGGACAGAATCCAAAAGTTTCAGGGTATTTTTGGGTGCTGCACTCCAAATATGGGAACAGTATTCCAGGACAGGTCGGATCTGTGCCTTATAGATCATAAGCAGCTGACTGGAAGTGAAATAGCTCCTGGCCCGAAACACAAACTAGTTTTTGGGATGCACTTTTAGCAATTGATCTCACGTGATTTTCCCGAGAAAGGTTATTGCTGATAGTAATTCCAAGCTTCGAAATGGATGTCCTCAAAGGTATGGTTACTGCTGACAAGCTTATGTTGGGCACAGTGAGATCGGCTATCCTAGAGAAAAGGCATGCTTGTGTTTTGTTTGCATTCAAATCTACCAAGTTATTGGATCCCCATTCGATGGCAAAATAAAATCAGTCAGCTATAACGATAGCATACAGTAACTTTGTTGAACTGTCATAAACTTAGGAAGTTTATTTCTGGGGTTTTGTATGTAAGACATACATACCTAATGATCGATAGCAAGTGAGTTTTGGTAGAGAGTTTTATGAACAGGGAGTTGACTGGCCTATTACTAATATACATCTGTAAGCCTTGATACTAACTTGTTTAGTAGGAGCATATTGAAGTTTGGAATAAGGAAAACTTACCCATCGTCGCAGCACCTTTGCTGTCCAACTGGTAGGGCGGTATTCCCATATGGGCCGGTGGCGGTTGGGACAATGGGTCTCCGTTGTGGCAGAAGAAGGGCATGTGGGTCGTCGCTGGTCCCAATCCCATCTTTCCTGCCTGGAAATGAATTATTCTTCGTTAGAGTTGTTATTTCTCTTTGAACCGTGTTCAAGATTGATTTTGATGACGAAATAATTCATCCCATTCAAGAAAACATATAGGTACCAATTTCGAATAGAAACTGTCGAAAACAATGATTGCTTATACATAACCTGAATTCTATATAATTTTTCAAATTAACGACCTCAAACTTCGACTTTTTACCAGTTCTCCACCAGTTTTCGTTGTTCGAACCGTTCGTTTAGGAGTTTCTGAACCGGAATGTACCGTATTTTTGGTGACGTCATAACTCACACAAGAAAATACTCAATTTCAGATCATTTTGAACATAGGTCAACAAGAAGAAACAACTTAGCTTAGGTAAGCTATGGCAACGTCGTGGAATGATTCGTTTTATATTTCTGAGGACAGATACCTGTCGTGACCGTTTTCTTTGCCCGTGCAACTGGTCAAAAGTTAACTCTACATTATTTGACGATCATGAATGAAATATTTGCTTACTTGACATCGAAAATATTTTATTGATTCAACAATCATTTTATTGTTCAATTAATCATAAGCCATTTTTCCTCGAAGTTAACCACACGAACCGGGTCAAAAATAAGTTGACCAGTCAATTTTTCTCGTGATAGTTGACCAACCACTCAAACCAACTGACTGATGTAGTTCACGAAGTGGTGAAGTCTTTGAAATCTCTTGAAGAGACAATTATGGATTCTTACGAAGTACTTTTCAATGAGAGATCTCATCATATTATTGATGAAGATAAATATTTTATGTAGCGAATTGTTTCAATTTTCTTGAATTAGAAGAAAGTACCTAGTTCCTATCTATGATATATTTTTGTTGGAGGATATGATGCACTGAGATTTTGTTGAATTCACGAAATTTTTGTTGATTCAAACTTTCTTTTTCTTCGTGTTCGAAATAATATCTGATGTTTTTATAATTTTATTTTCTGAAATGCAGTAAATAAACTCAGTGAGAATATTTCATAATGGAGATACAAAATGCGATACCCTTAAATAAACTATATGCAGCGAAACATTACTCTGTTTGTTCGATTACAATAGAGCAAACATCGATAAAAAAATATATCCTGTAAATATTTGAATCCATTCTCACTTTCATTTCCTTTTGTCGATAATTCCATACAGTGCTCGTGTAGAAAAAGCTGCTACATTATCAAAGCAAACAAGCATCGTTAAATATGTCATCGCACACTTCGATGATATTCTTATAGTAAGCACATTGTTGCGACGACATCTGTTGCTTTATTATCTGCTAGAAAAATCGTTGAGAGGCTTTCGAACTCGAAGATGGAAATATGACAACTGAAAAGTGTCATCAACGTTTTATTTCATGCATTTTTCCTAGAATAAGAGGTCGGACCAAAGACTGTCCGACTATTGATGGAAATATGACAGATGAAAAGTGTCATCAGTGTTATAAGGAGCATTTTTTCTCTAAGGGTCGGACGGAGGACTGAACGACTTATTCGATCGGACTGAAGACTAAACGTTATTTTGTTTAGATTTCGGTTGAATTCAGGACGTCTGTGGAGACCAGAGGAAGCCCCTATAGCATGTTTTGGTATTTTTGATGTCCATGCAAATTAGCAGTCGCCGGACTGATAAGGGCATATAGGTCTACGTCCCCGACATTCGCATGAATAAACAAAAGGTACGGAAAGGAAATAGAATTCCAAACTACGACGAAATAAATCTCTAAGCTATGTTTATTCATAAATGCGGTTACATATTCAGGCTCGTGAGGATATCCTACCAATCTTTTATTCTCTTTGGACGAGACCATTTGGAAGGGAATATGCAGCGGTTTCGATCAGGAACGTGTGTATTATTTAGACGTAGAAATTCGTTTTCATCCATCAACAATGTTTTAAATGAAGTTTCACTTGGTTTCGTTTCCACTGAAAAAACCTCACTCCTTTCGAGTTCATTCAGAACGTATCCAACTTCGAGAATGTCTTCTCTCCAACTGAGCAAAAACAGCACTGCGCTCAGTCAGTCGTCGAGTTATCGAAAACACTAACAGTAAACGATACTCCGGTGGCTTCAAAGGGAACCGGAACTTTGGAAAGAGAGAGACAGCACGATTCTCAAAGGATTTTTAATAACGTCACGCGACACTTCCACTACTCCATTTCGACCTATATTTTGCTTGTCAGATTAGCAGGAGGTCGTTCTTTTGAGTTCTTCTCGACGAGATAGTTGTTGAAAGAATGAAGGAAGAGTTTGTTTTGCCGCTTGTCACTGCGAAGAAGGATCAGAGAGATATTTTTCAGGGTACATTTGCCGAAGATTTGCATGCCGGAAAGTATACAGGGTGTTTCAAATTCGATCCTCACTATTATTGTAAAATTTCAAAAGAAATCGCACTTTAGCATTGTCAGTATTTCTCTACTACATGACGGTGCTTTCAGATTTGCTAACCGACGTTCCGTCTCATGGCCAACATCATCACCTTCATTTATTCCAATGGGCCCATATTGTATTTTACTGAAAGCACCACCAAGTTGTGAAGAAAAAATGATAATGCAAAAGTGCGATTCATTTTTAGACCCTACAATAAATAAAGCCAGAAAAAAATAAAACCAATTTTCGTTAATAGAGACGTATTTAAATTACACTGTGATCAAAGCACCGCTGGTGAGCAGACCTAATAGTTGTAGCGATCAAAATTTGGATGAAGACAATATAGTAGGTCGGACCGAAGACTGTACGATATATTCAATTCTGACCGACCTTGACTTCAATAGTTTGGGCGCAAATCATTTTTAATTGAAGAACACATACCACAAAACGATTAGTAATTATGACTTATCATCGGCATTCAAGGAAGTGATAGCAATAATTCCCTACGAACACATATTATATCGCAACAAAGTCGATGGTTGCTGTCCACAAAATGGTATTGCTAGAAGTGCCCATCACTGTGAATTATTAATATCCACTCCTGAGGAATCTTCAGTCCATGACGCTTGGTATATATACAATTATAACCTCTCTCAGCCCGTGTACGGGCAATAAAGCGTAATTAATTATACGAGTAAGTTAGGCATTGGCGTACACAAGGATGTAAATAAGGAAAGCACTGTATCCTTTCGCAATTACTTTGAAGTGATCATAGTGACTTTTGTGACGCCCTCCAGAGAGAACATTTTAGTTGATATGAACAAAAAACACTCGAAAAACCTCTATAGTTTCAAAATTTCCATGTACCCATTTTTGCGCGAAAAATGAATTCAAAAATTTGAGCTTTGACACTTTCTTATTAGTTTTGATTTTTTTTATCTCTCGGAGCGCATGAAAGGGAATCTCTATTATGTTCGAAGAACATCGTGTGTATCTAGGAAGGATAGAGAGAGAAGCTAGGTGTTTTTTGGAGATCATAAGGCGTAGATTTTCATAGCTCTGTCGTTCTATAGAAAAACGAGTTATGGTGAAGAGTTGTTTGATATATTTCGAGGTTGGCGACTAAAGGATGTGCTGACTGTGCCTGTTGAGTTCGTCTGACTGGTATTGCTAGTGATGGACTAATGCAGGGATTTTTGTGGAAAACTTCCCGTGTATATAGAAAAGTGAAAGGTCGCCGACTTTTCAACAGTGTGTTAATGAGGTCAAAGGATTTGTGAGTGTAGCATCACTCACCAGACGAATAACTCTTCTGTGGAAGGAATCTGAGAGCATCAAGGTATGTGTGAGTGCTGAATCCCATATGTGGGAACAGTATTCTAAAACTGCCTTTGCCTTATATATTATCATAAGTAGTTGTTGAGGTGTAAAGTAGCTCTTGGCACGTAATAAAAATCCGTGTTATGTGAAGCATAGCTTTCGTGATGGATCTGCATGATTTTTCCATGAAACAGTAGAGTGCTGATGGAAATACCGAGTTAGATATGGTGGACTTTCTGAGGACGGTGGTACCAAATATTGTTATAAATATCAGGCATACTGATGAGTTCCACTTTTCTATAGAAGATACAGGTTTTTGGTGGCGTTGAATTATTCAATTAGGTTGTTGTTTCTCCTAGTGATATTTTATTGAGACAAGTTGGTTCAAATCACGTGATTCAATAAGGGCGAGGCACTATATTTCAGGAACTAATAGTTAATCAAACATGCCCTCTGGCGAAGGCGGTAAAAACCAGAATGGAATGGATGGTTCTTCATCTCATTCACTAAACCTTCCTTCTTTGAACCAATACTTTTTATTGCAAAATTATTAGTTACTGAGATACAGTATCTCGTCACCCTTATTGAATCACCCGGTACAACTACTTTAGGATTATCACCCTGTAAATCGAAAATAATTGATTTCCATTCAATATTGACAACGGAGATGATAGTAACTTTCTGATTCAGATCAATATTTTATAATTCCTACATCAAATACTCTTCATATTCTCGTGAAAAAATCTGATAATATGAGCGAATTTGCCCCCTCCATGAAATTTCTGGGCACGCTCATGGAGAGCGAGGGGTAAATTGGGCAGCAAGAAAACTGCACTCGCAAACCTTTCCAGTGCAAAATGGACCAAGTCTAGGCGGAAAAAAAGGTGCGCATAATACCAGTAATTAAGGATAAGTAGTTTTAATCTGCCGGTAATTAATTGTTGTAATTAGTGGTGTTCTTGACTGCGCGGTAATGGACGCGAATGGCAGCACAGTGTCGAGTTGCGTGAGTAAACGGATACCTGAAATTACAATTTTCCGCTCTCGTGATCCTCATTATTTATTAATGTTTATACTATGTAAAAACAAATTATAATCATAGTGTGGGGCAGACGGGATGAGCAAGGAAGAAATTATACCAGTAGCTGGTGATAACGCGTCATCGCTGTCTCGTCATAAATCTTGGTCGGACTGAGGCCTGAACGGTTTTTTTCGATTTTTTTAGTTCTGCGTCATACCTATAGGGTAATTTACGTAGTCCACACA